CTCGGTGGTTTTAGGTCCTCCAAGGCCGGCGGGCAGCGAAAAACGCCCAAAATCGTCCCAAAATCGCCCGAAATCGCCCCAAAATCGGGTCCGGAACTCGAAATCGCGTCCGAAAATCGGGTTTTATTTCAAGGATTTTTTCACCACAGAACCCCCGGAGCGTCCTTCACCCCCCTCACAAGAGAACATCTCCAACCGGAAGTTCCACCAGTCCTCCAGTGCGCATCTCTATGGTTTCTCCATGAAACCGGAAGTTCCACCAGTCCTCCAGCGTGCATCTCTATGGTCTCTCCGCGGAACCGGAAGTTCCGCTCAGTCTTCCATGGTTCATCTCTATGGTTCTTCCAGTTCTCCAGCCTCCCCCCGCCCCCCCGAAATGAAGGAATTCGGGCACAACGCCCCCCAATGACTTTAAAAATTCTAAAACCTCCCCCATGGTGGCCAAAACCCCACAAGTGACCATTGGCCAGTCACACAGCCCCACCAGTGGCCAAATTCGCGACTCCTGGTGGCCAAAATCCCCTGCTGACCACCCCAGAGTGGCCACAAACCCCCTGCTGACCATCCCAAATTGACCATGACCCTCCCAGAGTGACCATGACCACCCCAGAGTGACCACTATCCCCCACCCATGGTCAAATTCTCAACTCGTGGTGGATTAAATCGAGTTTATTGGGGGAGGGGTCCATGGGGTCAATGGGGTAAAATGGGGGGGGTCTCAGGGTGGTCCCAGGGGGCCTCAGGGTGGTCCCAGGGTGGTCCCAGGGGGTCCCAGGGTGGTCCCAGGGGGTTTCAGGGTGGTCCCAGGGGGTCTCAGGGGGTGTCATGGGGTCCCAGGGTGGTCCTAAAGTCCCCCAGGATGGTCCCAAGGTGGTCCCAAGGTGGTCCCAGGGCTGCTGGGGCAGCTCCAGGCTGGTGTGGGGTCAATGGGGTCAATCAGGGGGTCCCAGGGTGGTCTCAGGGTGGTCCCAGGGGGTCTCAGGGGTCAATGGGGTGGTCCCAGGGGTCTGGGGGTCCCGAGTGACCCCTCAGGAGCAGCAGTACAGATCCACATCGTTCAGCCCGGTGTCGTCGCCCCCGCGCTGGGGCGGCTCTGGGTGGGTGTCAGGGGGGTCTCAGGGGTCTCAGGGGATTTTGGGGGATTTCAGGAGGGTCTCAGGGGTCCATGGGGTCAATGGGGAGGGGTCTGGGGGTCCCGAGTGACCCCTCAGGAGCAGCAGTACAGATCCACATCGTTCAGCCCGGTGTCGTCGCCCCCGCGCTGGGGCGGCTCCAGGCGCGTGCGGAGCCCGCAGACCCCGGCCCCGGGCGGGCACGGGAGGCTCCAGTTGCCCCAGGAGCCCTGGGGGCCACCTCGGCCCTCGAGCAGCGAGCCCCCCGAGCAGATGGCGGCCATGGCGTTGGCGGCCGTGTCGTCCCACAGCCCCCGCGGCTCCTCCACGCGCAGCCGGAACGCCACCAAACGCTGCCCGGGGGGACACGACTCCGGCCGGCCCCAGGAACCGCGCCTGCGGGAGGGGGAGGGGCCACGGGTCAGGGGGAGGGGCCAGAGGTCAGGGGGAGGGGCCAAAGGTTCCCTGGATGGGGAACCCCCCCCAAAACCCACCCTGGGGTGCAGCGGTGGCTCATGGTGGTCATGGTTGATTTGTGGTGGCCATGGATTGGTCATGGTTGGGTTGGGTTGGGTTGGGTTGGGTTGGTCATGGTTGGGTTTTGGTGGCCATGGTTACGTCATGATGGCCAAGGTTGGGTTTTGGTGGCCATCAAAGGGTCGTGGTGGCCATCAAAAGGTCATGGTGGCCAAGGTTGGGTTTTGGTGGCCATCAAAGGGTCATGGTGGCCACCAAAGGGTCATGGTGGTCATGGATTGGTCATCGTGGTCATGGCCAAGGTTGGGTTGGGTTGGCCAAGGTTGGGTCATGGTGGCCCTGGTTGGGTCATGGTGGCCATCAAAGGGCCGTGGTGGCCCTGGTTGGGTCATGGTGGCCATGGTTGAGTTGTGGTGGCCATGGATTGTTCATCGTGGTCATGGTTGGGTTGGGTTGGGTTGGGTTGGCCAAGGTTGGGTTTTGATGGCCATCAAAAGGTCATGGTGGCCATGGTTTGGTTTTGATGGTCATGGTTGGGTCATGGTGGCCATCAAAGGGCAATGGTGGCCATGGTTGGGTCATGGTGGCCATAGTTGGATTTTGATGGCCATGGTTGAGTTGTGGTGGTCATGGATTGGTCATCGTGGTCATTGTTGGGTTGGGTTGGGTTGGCCATGGTTGGGTTTTGATGGCCATCAAAGGGTCATGGTGGCCAAGGTTGAGTTGTGGTGGCCATGGATTGGTCATGGTTGGGTTGGGTTGGCCATGGCTGTGTTTTGGTGGCCAAGGTTGCATTTTGGTGGCCATGGCTGTGTTTTGGTGGCCATGGCTGTGTCATGGTGGCCCTGGCTGTGTTTTGGTGGCCATGGCTGTGTTTTGGTGGCCAAGGTTGGGTTTTGGTGGCCAAGGCTGTGTTTTGGTGGCCAAGGTTGGGTTTTGGTGGCCATGGCTGTGTTTTGGTGGCCAAGGTTGGGTTTTGGTGGCCATGGTTGTGTCATGGTGGCCCTGGCTGTGTTTTGGTGGCCATGACTGGCTCGCGGTGGCCCCGGTTGCGTGTCCCCGCCCCCGCTGACCCCGCTGGTCACTCACGGTCCCTCGCTGGACGTGGCCTGGCCGGATTTGTCACAGAGCAGCCGGACCCCGTTGAGCCCCGTGTCGTCCCCGAAGAACCCCTTGTGGGGCTCCACCTGTGTGACCCAAAAATTGTCACCTCCTGTGTCACCTCCGTGTCCCCAAACCCCTGTGT